TATAATTATATAAAGAACACTTTTTATTGTTCAGTTTGTACTCCAAATAGAAGTGAATCACATATAATTCGCAGAATCGCCTCACAATATACTATATGAAAGAAATAAAATTTCAATCATTGTCTTCTTCATTGGTGAACATCGAAGTATCGGAATAAGGCACACGTAACATTACAAGATGCAAATAGTTTATTTTTGAATTAATTGCTTTATTTCCTCCTTTGAAAGTTTCCTAAATTTTTTATATAAAGAAGGAGAAGTATTAAGCAAAACTTTTTTCCTCAAAACTTATTTTTTTCTAAAAATATACCCCTTTCAATTTGAAAAATAACCTTTCTGGAGCTCTTGTAATTGTTGAACTTCTCCCTGTTATCTCATTCAATGAATTCGCTACTACAACTCTACTGATAATTATAAAAAAATAACTTCAACGGATGTACTGGCGAATAGAGAGTCAATAGTAAATCAAAAGTTCTTATTTAACCCGATGTTTAGGTTTTTCATTGAACCATATTCATGAGTGCTTATGTCCTATTGATTTTAGTCAGTCTATTATTAACCCTCAGAATAATGAACTGAGTCCCTTATTAACCCACAGAACAGCAGTACCTTCATTAATTTAACACATGTTTGCGAAAGTTATCCAATGTGCATTATATATTTATTTCCAACTAAAATCAATAGGAGCCTAAGCACCCATCAATATAGTTAAAAAAACGAAACGTCGGTTTGAATTAAAAAACTTTTGACTCACCATTGATCCTCTCTTCACCAGTACATCCTGGAAACTGAAATTGGGTCACAAAAATATCATGAAATTACGTTTTACATTTGTTCAAACGAATTTTACAATGAAAAAGTCTAACAAGGGTTATGGTTTTCAATATAATAACTGAAATTATGCTTCATCAAAAGAAGCAATCAAAGGTCTAACAGTAGAGTACCTGTCCAATATAATGTGGCAGAGTCATTGTTGGTACAGCACTATATTGAAGAAATTAGTATTTTCAGCGATGAAAGTGTGAAAGGCGGACGTTTTTTTATAAAAAAACAGTATTTCCTTTAGTGAAGAGAAAAGAGAGAAAAAAATGGTTTCTAAGAGTGATTTCAGAAATTTCAGGAAATGTATGACACATTGCTTATACAAAGAATGGATCACATTTTGAAAGTTTTGTATAATAGCATTTCAGGTGTGTATAGACTGTTTTTTAACGGATCTTGAAAACCTTCAAAGATAAAAGGTTAGTTGGATTCAAAGGTCAATCAAATGGTTACTGAAATCAGAAATTACATCAGGTTTTTGAACATGTTTGAATGGAATGAAAAATATAAATTTTTTCAATATTTTCCATGCACACAAACTTGGTGTAATGAAATTTTTGCAATGACGTTTCGTCCAGTAATGACCACCCTCGAATTTTTTGTGAAATTTTATAGCCATTCTTGTCTTGCATTCAGTCATGTATCACTCTTGATATATTATTCGATCCATGCATGATGACCGTTATCATGGTTTGCCCAATAGAACACTCAAAAATAAATTACGGACCTAATTTTGACTTTCATATTATGAAAGCACCTATCTCACATCATGAAATGCATTCTATGACAACACTTACATGTGTTTTCTGCTATAGAAACATAAATAAGTAGTGTCAATTGAATTGAAAAGCATATTTCGAACTTTTCTCTGTTGCCTCCTGTTCAATCGGGATTTTGGAAAAGGCAAAGCTGTACAACCGCCCTTCTACATATTGCGGATGATATCATGAAAGCATTACGGATGAAAACAAATGTACGGTGTTAGTCCCACTAGATTTCAGCGGGACGTTTGATAATATTAATCAAAATCTTTTGTTAAGAATTTTGGATTATAATGGTTTTTCTGCCAACGCTCTCGCATTATTGACGGATCATTTGGAGAATATGCAGCAGCTGGTTAGTATAGAGGAATAGAACTAAGATATCTTATATCTCAAATCAGGGGTACCTCATTCCATACTTGGCCCTTTATTGTTCTCTATATATACATCTAACTAATTATAGGCTCTTCACACTTGTCAGGTGCATTTATGTAGGTACTGATGACACTCAAATATACCACAGCTTTCCGGCGAAAATCACAGGCAATGCTTGTGACATTATCAATGCAGATATAGATAAATTTGTTGAATTGACAACGGAACTTGATAACTTACTATAGGCTCTTCACACTTGTCAGCGGCATTTATATAGGTACTGATGATACTCAAATATACCACAGCTTTCCGGCGAAAATCAAAGGCAATGCTTGTGACATTATCAATGCAGATATGAATAAATTTGTTGAATTGACCGTTGTCAATTCAGTGTTTATTTTTAAACCCTACTAAATTGAATGTAATGATCTTCTCAAGATTTCACAGTTCCATAGTGAATTACTCTGCGAATATCTGCATTCGAAATGAGCCACTAGATATTGTTAGTGAAGCCAAAAACCTTGGTGTTCTGATGGATGTAGATCTGGATGGATGAGATTTGAAAAATATATGAATTAACAACATGCCTATTCTGCACTAAAAATCATTTATGGTATCATGTGAAAAAATCCTTATGTGAATCTTTGGTGCTTTCAGTTTTCAATTACGCGGATGTTCTTTATGACACATGTTAAGTCAATCAATACGGACGGATACTTCACGCTTTTTTTCCCATAAAATAATTGTAATAAAAAACGTTCGTATCTTCATACGAAAATTACGTATCGTACGGACATCCATAACCTGAATATTCGATATAAAAGTATGCTTGCAATGTCAAAATTCAAAACAGAAGTGTTCAGGCGATCTTTCAAGTACCAAATTTTTCAAAAGTATAATTCTGTCCCCAACTCTCTCAAACACATAAATTTCACAAAGTTCAAAAATAAATGTAAATATTATATTTTTCCGACTGAAAGTAAAATAAATAATTGATATATTGTAAGGAATTGGTAAGCTAAACTCCTCAAGTACGGTGTTTGTTTATATTATAATATTATTATATATAACAATCACAGTTTCTTTTATATTTTTTTTCTTTTCTTTTTTATTTGTTCTCTTTTCAGGATTGATGTATTTTATTACAGATGATGAACTTCGCCCTTTATTTCAATTGCTAGTTCAATATATAATTTATGCTGAGTTTCTATTTGTTTATGAAATAATAAAGGTCATATTATTATTATTATTATTATAAGAATTTTGCATAATATCGTCGACGCGACGTCTGTCAGCGGAACCACAATGCAGGAAGAGATTAAAAAATATGTACCTTGTTAAAACATCCTGTAGAGTCATGTTCAACTCGAAATCGATTCCTTAGAAAATTTTTAATAAATCGTGCTTGAAATAACGTTCATTATACCTATCAATATCAGGTGAGAAAATTTCAATGTACCTATAGGTACTAATTATATTTGAAGTATCAATATTATTGAAGTAGCGGAGAATAAGAGTACAATGTTTCATAACCTCCCGGCCCATCAAAGATTTGAGCTGAGAGAAAATATGGAGAGAATAACCCAGTCTTACATAAAATCTAGCATCAAATAAGATTGTCGTGTGAAAAAAGACATTCTGTCAAATTGTCGATACGAACTATTGGAAGTTGAATCAATCACTCGAGTGCATATGATATCAGCAAATTATGGAATTTACTAACGATAAAGTGCTATATTTGATTTTTCTTTATTACAGATACCAACGAAACACAAACTGAACTATACAAAGATATTCTGAGCTATACCCAGAGCGCAGATTACCAAACCCGACGTATTTCAGGAAAATGAAACGAAATTTAAGATAATTTGGTTCATTTCATAAACCGAGTATACAGTCAACTCATATGACTTATTGTAGAGAGTTGTCAACATGGAGAAGTTTTATGCGAGAAATTGAAAAACATTCAGTTCTTACGAAACATACAATTCTTAAAAAATAAGTATATCAGTATAAAAGTATATCATCAAGACTTTTTGACTCTTTTTTTAATGTCTTCCATCGTTTTTCCGAATACTGCATTGTTCATTAGCTTGAAGAAGTTTTTCTCACTACGTTTTATACTTGATAAAGAGTCAACATTGAACTCCTCACGAAATGAACTGGTCATTACGGAGCCGAGGCTTATATTTCTAACCCAGAGTTCAAAAATTGCATGATCTTCAACGAGAATTTGGTGGCAGTCGAACTGAGGAAACTGCAAGTTTATCTAAATAAACCGATACAAGTAGAACAGACTATGTTAGACTTGGCAAAGACTACCATATACGATGTTCATCAAGAGTGCATCAACTACATTCCATTACCCAATACAAAATTGCTCTTAGCCCTGAAGATGATAAACATTATATAAATCCAGATCCACACGATACGCTTCTTTGGGGCCACTATTCTATCCCTCAAACATTAAATGCTATGGATATTGACCATTAACCCCTTTTGATGATTATTAGTATATATGTATTTACTGCAGTTCAGCTGAGAAAAGATTTTCATATCAATAATGAATGTTCAAGTAACTGATTTATATTATTAATAGATTTGAGGTATGAAGATAGCTTTGATAGCTGTAAAATGTCTCGATACTTGAAAAATGTAATGGTGAACACATTAATGGAATGATTAGATATCAATAAATATGTTTTTGTGATTTTAATTTATGAATAATTCCTTCTTACGTTGGAAACTTCCAAACCCATCCCCCTCTCCAATTCTATTAACCCTCACTCATAACTAATATGATGTTAATTACAGTATACAAGCAAAAGAAAACTATTGCTCCTTCACGTAGTAGCGCTGTTACGAATCATTATAATTCAACCAAATAAGACTGATTTCCCACTATTCTCAAATTCCTGTTCTATACAGAAAGGGTTTTTTGTTTTTGGTCGATTCAATTCCAATTATTCGACTTAATAAAAACGTCCATCTGTGGATCGTTAATTCTCCAAACTGACACATAATGAGATGAAGATCAGCTTATTTTAACACAATTTTTCGTGAAATGTTTCATTGTAAATCATATGAGTTTTTGTAAAAAATTGGGTTTGAAAAATGCGTGTTTCTCGCTGCGGTTAAATTGACCAGAATGATCGTTTCAGTGCATTATATTTTTGTAGATTTTTGATACGATTTTCATGACAGAAATGACCGCTTCATCGTATAATCGCCACCTTTCATTTTATTATCTTGACATTACCTACTCTAATCGCTGGAATGGACGGGTAGGATTTCAAAATTAGCCATCTCGCAGTCCTGATATGAATCCTCTAGATTTATTTTTATGTGGTCATCTGGAGGCTCTTATTTATAAAACTCATGAACTAGATGTGAATGACTTGAGGAATCGAATAATTGACAATTGCAATATCATAAGGATTACTTCTAGTATTATTGAACGTGTCAGACAATCAACGATAAATCGATTGCAGACGTGTATTTTATCAGAAGGTGGGCATTTTGCTTATTTAATTCAAGCTCGAAATTGTTCATCATTTACTTTTGTTCTTCACCCGTCCATCAACTACACACAACTTCACGTTAACCTAGGCAGTTCAGTGGTAATAGTGTGATAGTGAAAACATGTCTTGTGAATTTCAGAATCTCTCGCCTCCAAAACTTCAAGGTTTCTTCTGGTTTGATTGTAATTCAAACGTCTGTAATTGGATTACACTCGTAGTTGTTCATAACCCAACAACTTTCAATTTCAAGTTTTTTCAATGAGTTTCTTTGAATTTGCAATTATTTCTATGCTATTCCAGATTGGGCGCTCGATATAATATTTTTCATACTCTACAAATGAAATCATTTGAAATGAGTACCCACATCAGCCTCGTGCATCTAATATAACGGAAATAGGTTATAAGATCGTTTTGACTTGGGGAAATGATTGATTATGTTTCTTGACACCAAAACAAGTCCACTGATGTCAAAATCATGGAAACCGGAAGTGACCTGTTTTTAACGTATTTGAAACCTTCTCCTCCTATGAAATGCAAATATATCATATGTTTGAGTATACGATGATTTTATCATTACCGGATGTGTTTATTTTTTGCAAGAAACGTAAAGATATGTCAGATGTGGATAATCAAGTTTTCATATTTTTTCTCCAGATCTCTACAACTTTACATCTGGTTCTCTTACGAATTTCGAAATTATTTCATCACATGCACACCTTATGCTTATTTGACATGTCAACATGACGTATTCAGTTTCTACATACATGCCCCTTTCAAAATTTGTCTGCGAAGATGTAAACTAGTGCCTTTTTGACATGACGTTATCTTTGAGTTCTCTTTGTGAATTATATACCCCTCCTCCTTTCATTTAATGTGTTACACGCGATGATGTGACTGTTATCAACTAAGATACAACTCAGTGTCCTATTGGCATCATCTTTGCTTCCTCTTTGTCGACTAATTCTGCATTTCTTTCCTTTTCATTTGACGTGCTGCACGTTGAGGATAAACTGTTATTAATGAAAATACGGCTTAGTGCCTTTCTGACATGTTGCGCCATATTTGTTCATTCTCTGTCGTTATACTTTGCCATTCGTTTCCATTTCATTTGATGTGCTACACGCGATTATGTGACTATTATCAAGGAAGATACAACTTAGTCTCTTCTTGGCATCATCTTTGTTTCTTTTCTGTTGATGATTTTTGCATTCGTTTCCCTTTCATTTGATATGCTGCACGTTGAGATTCAAGTATCATTAACGAAGATGTGGCTTAGTGCCTTCCTAACATGTCGCGCCATCTTTGTTTTCTCTTTGTCGATACATTCTGCATTCGTTTCTCTTTCATTTGATGTGCTATATGTCACGATCCAATCATTATCAGCGAATATTCAAATTAGTGCCCTTCTGACACCATTTTGTGTAATAACTCATTAATTTTGACAAATCATCACATATTTTCTACGACTTCACTACCTCCCACGATGAATATGTCACTTTCAAAGTTTTAATGTTTTATCACTATCATTATTATTATTCGACCTTCATTCTCGAGTTCAATTTCATCTAACACAATCGGCCAACCGATATTTGATTCCTCAATTCTGATTGGTTAATCAGCACAACTCTCTAACAGAAGTTAGGCTGAGTGTTCCTCAAGGATCCGTTCAGGAGTCTGAAAATTCACAAAATGAAACTTCATACGACAAAGCATGGATTTGAGTCATCTGCTGACTCAAGTCCATGTTAGCGATGACTGTCATATTGAAACATGAAAACACGAAAATTACGACGTAACGATAACGAATAAACACTGGTCGAAACGTACGCAAAACGGTCGAAACGCACGAAATACGGTCGAAACGCACGCAAAACGGTCGAAACATATGCAAAACGGTCCAAACGTACGTTAAACAACGTATTTTGTAATATCTTTGGAATTGGCCGCGGTGGTAGTGCGTCCAACTCACGATCGGAAGACCATGGGTTCGATTCCCGCCTCGACCAGATATTTTTCTTGAGAGAATTTTTCTGGATGAAGCTGGAATGATTCTGCAACAGCGTTAGGTTAGGTTAGTCCTTAGCTCGCACAAGTTTCTCAACTTCTGAGAGTTGCCGTTCGTATGGGGGCGACAGATGATTAACGGAAAAACAGATTTTTTTTAAACAGAATACTTCGCTACCTCATTGTCCCCACCTTCGGACGTTAAATCCACAACACGTAACTCCTGGCACTTTTGGGTGCCATTTCCTCCTCCTGATGGTGCTCACTTGGTTAACAAAGATACGACATGTTGAACACTAGACTTCCATTAAATCGACATGTTTATTTTTTTAAATCATGAATTTTGAAACGCGCTGTATATACATTGATACCACGTATTTTTTTTTTTCTGAAATGATGTTTTTTCAGACACCCTGTACACATTGAGGAACCGCACGTTGAAGTTTCAAAGTGTCATATTTTTTCTTAAATCTGACTCATCTTTATTAACACACCACTTTTTGCACCACGTCATGTCTCTGGCTCTTGCACACACACACACACACACACCTTTATATGAAACAATAATTCTTCCCCAAATCTAAGTATATTTTCCTATACTCTTCAAGGAAATGACGTTACAATTTCCCTAACATTCTACGGAAATCAAAAAATGCGGTCAAGAATAGAGAATGAATCAATTTCGGTCCCGACAAAACAACCGCTTTAAATATCAGCAATTCGCAATCATATCCAATATCTTACTACGTTGGTGTCGAGGCTAAAGACAACGTCTACCACGCTGACGACCCGAGTTCGATTCTCATACCTATAAGTTTTTTTAAAGGACTTGACAAGGGAGCCCGAGGTATGAGGCGGAGTCTCAAAGGGGCCCGAGAGGTAAGGCGGAGTCCCAAGGGGGGGCCCACGCTCTTTGAATCTCTCCGATACTCATTCCATCCTGCATCGGTTACGTCACACGTTTCTTCACCCATAATCTCGTTTGACCTAAAAATTGCAAAAAGTTTAGCTCCATAACGAGAACGAGAATGTTTCCTGCTTTTTCACCAAACTCAAACACCTATTCATGCAGCTGCAGTTTCGTAATATTTTCCTTCAACCGATTTCCTGGAGTCTTTGAAGTCCACTAGATACTCGTTAGGACAACAAGAGGTTTGTTCCGAATTCTTGGAGTTCTTGTTGAATACTCTTCGTGAGCAAAACAATAGCAGAATCAATACTCCTGACCGTTCCGGAATGAATGATTCCGAACATTCTATCTCGACTTGTGTTTGTAAATCTTTTGTTGGAAAAATTCGCACTTGTTTACTTTGTGGTAAATGTTCAAGAGGTAGAGAAAACGTATGTGAACTTCTGGAACTCCAACTAGCGTTTCCTTTAATGTCTAATAATAACCAGTCCATGCAAAGCTCATTGTTTAATCATCTTAAAATGGAACTTTCAACAGGTGATGATCAACTGTATTGCCAAACATGCGCCAAACGATCTGACTGTTATAAGAAAACAAGTATAGTTGAATCACCAGTCAATCTAATAATAACACTAATCATCTTCAAGCATGACTCAACCTCTGACGGAAGCACCAAACTCTTACGAAGGTACGAAATTGATGAACACTTCAATCTAGCAGATCACTATTATAATCTTCATGCAGTCATTGTTCACTGTGGTTCTGTCGTTGAATCTGGTCATTATGACGCCTTGGCCAAAGACGAAGCGGATTGGTTTAGGTTTGACGGTAGTCATGTAACTAATTGTTCTGTATTGAATTTATCGGAGACTCTGGAGACACCGTACATTTAGTTTTATGAGAGAGGACATTGGCAGATCAAGATCTTTGGATGATGTGGTGCTGCAGATTTTTCCGGGTTTTCCTGAAGCTGAAATAGCAAATAGCTGGAATCAAAGAAGTCGCCCCGGAGCGCCAATTAATTTTTGTTGTTGTTTTATAAGTTCATGATTTGTATTTTGGAAGTGTTATCACTAAATACATGGGATTTTGCGCCAGAAAACTCTTTGCTCATCTACTGATGGTTTGAATTTCCCGCTGTACGCGCGGTAGCTGATTGGTTAACCGAATGACGGCAAAAGTGAAGGAGTGGGCTCTGAAAGTCTCAGGCACAATTCACACAGAATGGACGTCTGACAGAGACGAGGTGCAGACCTTTGTCCATTCCGTGTGAACTGTGCC